GCAAATTTTTTCATTAATCGATCAATCCATCCATTTATCTATCATTCATTCATCCATCTATCTATCACCCATCCATCTATTAATCATTTATTCATTCATGCATTCATTCATTCATTCATTCATTCATTTATTCATTCATTCATTCATTCATTCATTCATTCATTCATTCATTCATTCATTCATTCATTCATTCATTCATTCATTCATTCATTCATTCATTCATTCATTCATTCATTCATTCATTCATTCATTCATTCATTCATTCATTCATTCATTCATTCATTCAATCATTCATTCATCATTAATTCATTCATCATTCATTTTCTGAATCAGCTAGTTGGGTATAATTAAGTGCATCACGTGGAAAAAGGCATAATGGAGAAAATGACGACGATGATGATGATGCCGATAATAATAATAATAATAATAAAGCAGCGAAGGAAAAAGCTAAAACTGGCACAAAAACGTTTCATACATCTACAAATTATTTCATCAATTCATTTTCGTTTTTCTAAACTTTCTCTCTTTCTTTCTTTTTCATTAATTCACTCATTCATCTATATATTCATTCATTCATTTGTTCATTCATTCATTCACCAATTCATACATCCATTCACTCCCTCATTCATTAAATCCATCCATATATTATTACTCGCCAAATTACGTCACGAGCCATTAATTCCTGTCTTGGAGACAAAAATTTTTCTTTAGAGAAACCATCTAGCAAAAACAAACAAATAATAATAATAATAAAATAATAAACTAATTATAATATAGTAATAATACTAAGATATTATTAATATTATTATTACCAGTTAATTAGTTAATGAGAAGCACCAACAACTGATGGGAAACCCCCAGCCTAGAAGACATATTTCTTCCCTCCATCGTGAAAATATTTTAGTAAAAAAAATTGTAAAAAATACAAAACAAAACAAAAATAAACAAAAATAAAAACCGAACTGGAGAACAAAGAACAAAAATAAGAACCGAACTAGAGAACAAAGAACAAAAAAACCTGCAAAAAAGGCAAACATGGAGAACCGTAAAATTGTCGTTAAGGAAATTTATCATTACATCATGAAAAATTCAGCCTAGAAAAGAAGAGAGGGAGAGAGAGAAAGAAAGAAAGAGAGAGAGAGAGAGAGAGAGAGAGACAGAGAGAGAGAGAGGAAATGAAAGATTGTAAAAAAATTCCAATGGAAATTCCATAACCTAGGAGCTTAACTGTATCAAAGAGCATTATGAAGGAGATGTAAAAGTTTAATGAATGCTTAAAATAGAGCAGTAAAATTAAATCTAACTGCTGATTACTTTAATTAATTTTACAATCAACCAGCCAGCCAGTCAACTAATTGACCAACCAACCAAACAACCAACCAATCAAGCAACTAACCAATCAAACAACCAATTAATTAACCAACTAAACAACCAAACAATCAAGCAACTAACCAATCTAACAACCAACTAAATAATCAACCAATTAACCAATCAATTAATCAACCAATTAACCAACCA